AGCCAAGTATAACACGTTTTCAGAGTTTGTGGTAAGACAGTAAAGAAAAGAAATTGTTAACAAGCATTACAGGTAGCTACTACGTCTGGGGAGGACAAAGGGGGACAAGAAGGGCTTCGAAAGTCTTGGTGACATTCTGTTTTCTTTAAGTGGGGTGATGGATGGATGGACATTTTATTCCTTTTCTTTAAAATGTGCATCTATACACATATTTATACATATTTTGTGTATGTGGTATGTTTCGTGGTTTTAAAAAATTAACAATCCAAACAATAGGGGGAAAGTTCCGAGCTGCCATTTTCATGCAAAAGCCAAGGATGTTTGTCACAACAGCCCTTGGCATTGTGGCATTGCCCAGGCGCTTCTCATCCAGGAATAGTTCGTACCAGTGTGGTTGCTGGGAGGAGCAAGCTGACTGCTGATCCCTCTGGGCCTCATCCTTGGACACAGCAGTCTTTGTCCTCCAGATAGAGGGATCCAGACACCGAGCTCCCATCTGCAAGGACACAGCTCTGGGGTTCCTTCATGGGCGTGTGTCCTCTCAGAGAGGGCAGAATGATGAGTGGGTATCAAGGGTGAGGGTTGCCAGACGTGCAGAGTGCATGATGCCTAAATGTCTTCTGGGGAGACCTCTGGCTCCAGAGAGGCCCGCACACAAGGCAGAGACCTTCTGTAAGCAGGAGGCCCAGTGTCCGTCCCTCAGCTATTGGACACTCGAGGTCTGGGTGGCTTGTGGTTGGATCAGACCACCCTTCAAATAAGCCCTCCATGGTGGTGGCCATCAGCCCCCGATGCCCAGCAGGGCTGGCGGGAGGAATGAGGTACTGCTCGGCTCGGAAGCTCTGGTGGCTCTGGCCACTAGCGCTCCCGTCCTTCACCCTGTTCTGCCCAGAGCGGAAAAGATGGAAGGGAGCCGGCGTGTGGATTAGTGGCGTCTTTATTTTTGTTCATTTGTAGTCACTTCATGTGTTACTTTGTGAATGTACTTTTTTTTCCTTAGGCAAAAATATGAGTGTCAGTTCCCACCTCCCACTTAATCAAAATAGAGTAATAGCCTTAACCAGGGTCGTGTAGAGACAGCATCCCCAAGGAAGCATAAAACTGACATTGATTTCTTTGCCTGGAAATAAAAAAACAAGTGTCTGTGAGTCATCTTTGGATTTGCATTACAAACAGGAATGCAAACGAGCGCCACCCTGTCTGCATAGCCTCCAGATTTCCAAAATATTTGATCTGGTGCATTTTAAGCAAAATGTGCAAAGTTTACTAAAATCCTAAAATTTTCCAGTGAGGTATTCGAAGTTTGAGTTTTTGCTTGTGTTGATGACTCATTTTCTCTTTTGTTTTCTGTTTTTGTTCTTGATTTACCGTAAACTACCTGCTGACTCACGCCATCCAACCAACATACAATGCGAAAACCATGTCTCCGTCTGTATGTTGTGCACCTGCTGCTCAAACATCCCAATTTGTAAATAATACGCAAATACCCATCCATGAAAACATCACATATAGGAAACGGTTGGTTTCATGACTTTAAACAGTTCTTAAAACTCCTTGCTTTGCTTGCCCTGCCCCTGTCCCTTCTCCTGTGAGCCCTCACCACCGCCTTCCTGAGGCGTGTGGTCAGAGTCTGGCAGTCCCCATCCCCTCTGGTCTCTTCTCAGCATCTGGGGTCCAGTGGGGGCTTCTGAGGGCCCTCCCGGGAACTGTTTGATTCAGGAACTGGCCTTGGGTCTTCTGAGCCAAGTGGGTAAGTGCCCAGCCAGTTTTTCCTGTTGGGATTGGGTTCAGAATCGGAGGGATTTTGTAGGGCATGAGTTTCGACCTGATCCTGTGGAGTCCATGGTTTCTCTGGCACCATCTCCCTTCTGCTCTGTCCCCATTGAACCCACATACAATGGTGGTTCTCCCCAGTGGCCTCTGACGATGCCTCCTCTAGCATTCTTCCTGGAATTGCCCTTCCACGGGGAATCCTCTCTGGGCCTCGGGGCTGGAGGGGATTGGAGATTGTGTCTCCGTGATTCAGAAGGGGTTGTGTAAGGCCTGAACGGAGCGGGAAGAGGGTCTGTCCCCAGAGACAGCAGAGCACCTGGCTCCTGTGTCCAGCCTTCACTGGCCAGCTCGTGCACGCTCGCTCCGTGGTTCCCACGGCTGGGTGGCGTGAACCCCAGGCCTTCAGGAGTATCTGACAGGAGAGCAAAGACACCAGGAGCAGATGAAACCGAGGCTGTGACTGGAAATTCATATAAAGTAGCAAGTATTTGAGATCCTGTTCCAGAAAATGAACATTAATGATCAAGTATTTCACAAGTGGAGAAGATCTTGAGGTTTTGAGAAAATGCCATTTGATGCAGAAATATCTGAATCAGGCCCCTCCATGGCTGTTCCCTGTGCCCTTGGGAAGAGCCCCCTGCCCCCGTGCCCTCCCTCTTCAGAGTGCACACAGTCCCATGACACGCTGAGCACCTTGGGGTCTGTTCCTCCTCATCGTCCCGCCGGGAAAGAGCCAAGTATGAGAGCAGTCTGTCGCTTGCTTGCTGGACCTTGCTGCCAGCATGGAGTGTGGGTCCCAACAGATGTGCACAGGGCACAGGGGATGCCTGTCGGGGTCTGGGGCTCCCCTTTGCGGGGTGTGTGTCACGATGCCTGGCGTGCCTTTAAATCCCTCAAATCTCTGATTCCTCAGCATCTGGGGACAACGTCCTAATGTCCCCGTCTTGTGGGTGAGGAAGCCAGGGGCTCAGAGGAGCTGGGGACCAGGGTACCCTCAGGGTGAACCATCCGCCACATTGCGGGTTGTGATAATGCCTCTTTGGGGTGCCCTAGACCTTCCCAATGCCGAGGCAGGTGGCAGTCAGGAAGGGCCTGGCTTTGAAATGTAGGTGATTGAAATGTAGGCTTTGAAATAAGGTACTTGGGGCTCTCTGGTGTGACAGAAACCATGGACTCTGGGAGGACGGGGCAGGCCCTTTCCACCACTGAGGGGCTGGCTGAGGCCAGAGGTGACAACGCGTGGCCGTGGGGAGGCTGCCGTGTGCTTGCTGACCACCTCCCCCCCGTTCTCCCGTATGCTGCTCGCGTGCTGGTGCCTGGCAGCTCCCGCCCTGGTGCGGCCCCGGAGTGCTCTGCCTGCCACCCTGTGCTTGGGGTATCTGTGGCTGCTGTCACCATCCGTCCTCATGGCTCTCTCAGGCTGTGTGTCTGTGGCCCCCGCCCCCCTCCCGAGTGCCCCCTGGAGCCCTGAGAAAAGACATCTCGGGGGAGGGGTGAGAGCTTGAGTCTCAGCAAAAAGTAGGCCGGGGCGTGTGAGCTTTGTGTTGGTGCACACTGCGCACGATCAGTGCCCTCCCCTGCCTTGTCCTCCATCCCTTCTTTCTCACCCAGAGCCTCTCTTTTCCCGAGAATCTCTAGGTGCCAGTGGCCTGAGCAAAGTCCTTTGGGCTGGGCAGATGCTGACTGTGTTGTAACAGTCTTGGGCCCTCCAGATGCAAGTGGGCAGGTGCGGTCCAAGTGGGACCTCAGAGGAGGCCAGGCACTTGCCGGCTCCCTCACCTTCCTCTGCTTTACTGCCTCATGCTGGGATTTCCCAGCGCTGTAGACGAGGTCTCCCTTCCACCGCTGTGCCGGTCCTCCCGAGCTGACTGGCTCACCTGCAAACCTGGGGCCCGCAGGGCGAGTGTGGGTGTTTCCTGCACCACTGAGATTCTCTTGCCCCAGCACAGCAAGCAGGTGAGGGAGCTGTAGGCAAGCCTGTTTGCCCTCCAGGATCCCACCCATGGTCCACTTCTGCCTTTTGCTGATCCAGACCCTAGTCAGCACCTCCTTGTGACTACCTCGTGCCTCCCACCTCTAGCCCCCCAGCAGAGACAGACTAGAGTCCCCAGCATCCCCCACCCCAGTGGGAACAAAGGGGTGGACAAGGCTGGGTTGGGGCCATGGTCCTCAGAAGTGGGAGTGAGACCTGCCTGTCCACTGAACGCTTTGTCCCAGCCAGGACCAGCTGGGCAGCTCTGGAGGGGGGCAGCCAGCTCTCCCCAGGCTCCCCACAGCCCCTGCACGTGCTCTCCCACTGCCGCTCATTGAACATGTCGTGTTCTCTTCTGTCTCCATTGGACCACTGAATCTGGCGATACATTGTTTCTAAGCCTGAGCTGCTTGCCTATGTTAGACACCCAGATGTCAGGGAGCTGCTGTCATGCGGGCACCTGGTCTCTAAGCAGACAGAGGCTGGGAAGCTGCCCAGGGCCACAAGCACACCTACGTCGTCCGCCCAGAGCCGTTCTTCCTGAAAGGGATGGGCTGATAATTCAAGGTGCCCCTGGGCCCAGATGGAAAGCTCACTCCCCCTCTGATGAAGGAGCCATGCTTGACATCCCGGGATCTCTGCCACTGGGAGCATTCGTGGATTTCCTGAGTGGCTTCCGTGGTGTGGGCAGTGGGATCGCCCACACTTACACTTCGTACGGTGACTTGTCTGCAGGCACCGTGAGCAGCTCTGGGGGAAATGTTTGCCCCTCTGCCAGGTCCCAGGCAGGCAGGGGCTTTGCTAGCCATGCGGAGAAGGGAAGGGCCCCTCAGAGGCTCTCCGTGGAGAAGCAGCCCTGCCCGGCGCTTGCACGGCTTGGCTGTGTCTCGCAAGAGGCGGTCCACGTTGGAGGCCCATCCACAGGTGGCCCCCTGGCTCCTCTTGGCAGCAAGGGGCTACTTCTGGGAGTTCGTCTCTCTCCGTCCCTGTCGGGTGCAGGGGAGCCTAGAGCAGAGGGTTTCCATTGATTTGCTGCATGAGAAGTGATTGGCAATGACAAGCTTCACTTTCGGAAGGTTTTCTGGTGGCCGTTGCTGCTTCTCTCCTGTAGAGCAGTGACTTTCTGTTTGGTCTCTCTTTGGATCCACTTTCCTTCGGGGCACAGCAGGTCTGGGAGAGGCGGGTGGGAGGTCTGCCATGGTGGGAGGCTGATCTCCGCCGGCTTGAGAACAGCCTGTCTTCCCCACAGAACAATTTCATCAACCTCAGCTTCCTGCGCCTGTTTCGGGCCGCCCGGCTCATCAAGCTGCTGCGCCAAGGCTACACCATCCGCATTCTGCTGTGGACCTTTGTGCAGTCCTTCAAGGTGAGGCCCGGCCCAGCGCCCTGAGCCCCGGAGCGGCCCTCCTCCTGGAGGCCCCTTGGTGCCTGTTACCCCGTTGTGGTTTACAGACCTTCTAAGTTGCCCAGACAGCCCCTCGGTTGTGCTCACTGACCCCGTGGCGGGGCGCGCGACTGCTCAGGGATGAAGGAAGCGAGGCCGCCTCTTGGTAGAGGGGCTTTGTGGTCAGTGGGGTGGCTCTGCGGCCGCTGAGGTCTGAGCCAGGCAGACCACCATCCCCTCCGCAGACAAGGTCCGAGCCAGGCAGCGGGGCAGCCCCCTGGAGCTGCCCTGTCCTCCGTGTGTCTCCACAGGCCCTGCCCTACGTGTGTCTTCTCATCGCCATGCTGTTCTTCATCTACGCCATCATCGGCATGCAGGTGGGCGTGCTGACGGGACCGGGGGCGGCAGGGTGCTGGTCACGGTCACCAGATGGTACCTGTGACAGAGCGACACTCAGGGAACTTTGCTTATGAGGCAGATACCGTTTTCAGGACTTTATGAACTTAACTCTCAGAAAGGCTGTTCTATCGATGAGGACACTGAGGTTGGGCACCCCGAGTCTGGGCCTGTCTCCCAGAGTCCTCTAGTGAGGCGTAGTCCCCCCGTCCGTGGCCCGTGGTACTGTGCTCTGCCGTGCTCCTGAGTAAAACCCCACGGGGCTGTTAGGGTGTCGGTGGGCTCATTGGACTGGGTGCTGGCCGCCCCCGCCGGTGGAGATTTGAAGCACATGTGCCCCAGCCGGTCCTTCTCTCAGTCCAGAGAGCCAGCCTGACCCTTTACAGGAGATCGTATGTTCTAGAAGAAAAAGTCAGCAGGATCGAATTGGGTCACTATACTGTCAGATCCAGCTGAGAGAATTTAGATCCCCTTCATTTCCCCAAGAACCCTTGGTTAGCTGTTTGGAAAAACATTTATGAGACACAAAGCAGTGTTCCAGATTTGAATCTTTGGCATCGGGTCACTTTTCAGCAGTAGGGTAGGAGTTGGATCCCAATGTTAAATTACAGTGGAAGAAGCCACTGTCTCAAAGGTTAGGTGCAAATTGATTTTTAAACTCTGTTTCAGGGAGTGAAAAGCTTCACTTGCTTTAAAATTTGCTGATACCGGATGCTCTTTAAAATGTATTTTTCGGGGCGCCTGGGTGGCTCAGTGGGTTAAGCCTCTGCCTTCGGCTCAGGTCATGATCCCAGGGTCCTGGGATCTGAGCTCCCTGCTCAGCGGGGAACCTGCTTCCCCCCTCTTTCTCTGCCTGCCTCTCTGCCTACTTGTCATCTCTGTCAAATAAATAAAATCTTTAAATAAATAAATAAATAAATAAAATGTATTTTTGGCTGCTTTTTTTTGTGGATGTATAAGACCATAAGGGTCACTGATCTTTGTTTTTGGTGAAGCTTTGATAGTTCCTAAGTTTTTCAGCCAGATTACAGATTTCAAGCCACGTATAGTTACTGACTTGTTTGCATTCCTAACCCAAAAAAGAAATCAATTAAAATGGATAAAAAGCCCATTGTGGTATTTGCAAAGACACTTAAAAAGAAACTTTCAAGTTGATCTCCTGGCTATTATCACAATAATTCCCGCCTCGTAGTCACTGATGACAGAGTGAACTTTCTAGTGCGTCCGTCTTCCATACAGAGCAGCCCACGTACGCTGAGCTCCAGCCGCGTTTTCACTGGGTGTGCGGACTTGTGCCTGCAGACACGTGGAGCTGGCGGGGGGTGGGGCAGTGACACATTTGGCTGGAAGCACAGGCCCCTCCAGCCCCTGCTACAGTGGAGGTGGCTAAGGGCTGTGTCCTGGGCCTTGTGGGTCCTCACGGGCACACACCCTCCTCTGCCTGGCCACAGCTCCAGGGGTCCCAACAGCACCAGCCTGCAGCCTTCTTTCTCCTTTCAGGTTTTTGGAAATATTGCGCTGGATGATGACAGCAGCATCAACCGGCACAACAACTTCCGGACGTTTCTGCAGGCCCTGATGCTGCTGTTCAGGTGTGTTGGTCAGGGGTCAGCACAGGCTTGGGGGCTCCTCCGTTCAGGAGGGACGGGGTGTGTGCCAACCCAGCTCGGGCTGGCCTCCCCTCAGTGGGCCTTCCCAGCTTCTTCTCCCCTCTTCTTGGCATCCTTCCCTAAGGGTTCCTGGGCCTCAGGGCAGACAGAACGCAAGCCCCCAAGGGAGGTCAACCTGAGAGCCCCAGGTGTGAGGCTGGCCTTGACCACCTCGGCTCAGGTACCCGGTGGTGGCCAGAAGGCCTTAGTGAGGCTGCGGCCAAGGGTCTGGGAGGACAGAAGGTGTCCAGCAGGATCTTTTTCAGTGTGCTGGCTGTAAGCTTTCCATCTGCTCACCTTGTTGACTGCAGGGTCTGTGGGACCGGGGGAAGCAGGGCAACAGCTGCTGACGGCGAGCGTGCTACTTAGTGACCCAAGGGACTCAGCTGGCCAGACCCACTGGTGTGAGTGTGCCTCCAGCTGCCCTTGGGGCTCACAGGACTGCAGTTCCCTAGGCTTTCTGCCCCAAGTCCAGCGTCAGAGTGGCTTGGTCCTGGCTCAGGTGCCTCCCGGTGAGAATGTGTTCGGGAGGCCTGGGGGCACCTGTTGTCCTGAGACGTGGCACACTCTCCTCAGACTGGGGGCTGTTGACCCTCCCTGTTTGGGGTCTGAAGGGAGAGGGGTGAAGGTGTCTCCCCGCCTCCAGAGTCTCCTTCAGTAAGGCAAGCCCACCACTGTGACCCTCGGAGGGAAGAAAGGAGCCCTTTGGAGGGACTTGGGGAGCTGGGGGCTGACATAAGATGCCACCCGGGGCTCCTTCTTGAGGTTCCCACATGTGTGTTTCTTTTCTTTCTTCCCTTTTTTTTTTTTAAGATTTTATTTATTTATTTGACAGAGACAGAGATCACAAGCAGGCAGAGAGGCAGGCAGGGAGAGAGGAGGAAGCAGGCTCCCTGCTGAGCAGAGAGCCCGATGTGGGGCTCGATCCCAGGACCCTGAGGTCATGACCTGAGCCAAAGGCAGTCGCTTAACCCACTGAGCCACCCAGGCGCCCCCACATGTGTGTTTCTTTATGCAAATGCTTGTGAGGCCTAAGCTGGGGGAGCCCCACACAGTCCCAGGCAGGGCCTGTGGGGTTCTTTCCATGGAGGGAGAGCAGACGGGTCTGCTCTGCTAGGCCGCCTGGAGAGAGTTGGCTGACCCTTGTTCTTTCAGTCAGAGGCCGACACTTTCTCCAAATGACATCGTCTCTCCAGACTTTAGCTGTTATGTTCATTTCATCTCTTCATCTGTTAAAGTCCTGCCTCAGGCTGCAGTAGTTGAAGCAGGTCTCTGAAACCAGCCGCAGCTGGAAGCCTTTGTTCTCAAAGATCTCTTTTCCTCCCTGATCTCGGAGTCACATAGGAATGCCCATGTCAGTCAGGCCTGGCACAGGACAGCTGCCCTGCAGGAAGAGCCCCCTACTCCTAGCCACTGGTGATGGACAGTGGGCTCGCTTGTGCCCAGAGCTGGGCTCGCTTGTGCCCAGAGCTGGGCACACGGGCACACCAGGTGGGGGGCACCCAGGCCTCTGGTCTACCTGCAAGTCTGCGGGACCTCCGGCCCGTGTTCTGACTGCATATCGGGGACAAATGTCCATGAAGAAGGTCCTCCATGGTGGCCGCTCGGGGTGGGGTTGTTCGTGGTGTGTTCTGGAAGCGCAGACGCTGCTGTGGCTGGAGTGGGCTGAGCAGAGAGAGAGAACGGGCTGCAGGCCGCACGGAATTGTGGGCAGTTGTGTGCATTTTGGATTTGCAGTGAGTTTGGGGGTCGTTGAGAGAAGTGACCTGATCTCATCTGTGTTTGTTGGACCCACTTGGGTGTTGTGGGGTGTGGAGCAGGAAAAGCCACTCAGAAGCTGTTGCAGAGCTCGGGGAAGGTGATGGTTGCCTAACCCAGGGTGGTGAGAGGCAGTTAGAGTCCAGCTGTTCTTTGGAGGTAGATGAGCTGGTGAACAGGGGTGGTGAGAATGAGTGGAGGCAGGGATGACTGCGACCTGTTTGGTCTGAGAAACTGGAGGGGTGGAGTCCCCACTTGTTGAATCAAGGAAGGCTGGGATGGCACCTGCTGTGGGAGGGGCCAGGAAAGGCTGTGTTGGCTTCGAGGGGCTCAGAGGTCCATGGAGGGGCACTCACCATGGTGCTGGCTTCTGGTGCACTGCCTTATTTTCAGTAACTAGTTCTTTCTAGGTTAATGATCAGTTTGCAAACCTAATGCCAGAGGATTCTGAGCCCAGTGAGGGTGTGCACTGGAGCCCGCTCTTCTGGGAACCCTTCTCTGGCTGGTCTGGCCCTTCCTTCATGGGCCTCACGGCTCTGCCCTTCTTCTTAGGAGTGCCACGGGGGAGGCCTGGCATGAGATCATGCTGTCCTGTCTCAGCAATCAGGCCTGTGATGAGCACGCCAATGCCAGTGAGTGTGGGAGCGACTTTGCCTACTTCTACTTCGTCTCCTTCATCTTCCTTTGCTCCTTTCTGGTAAGTCCTGGTCACTGTGCCCATGTGTCCACCTGTCTCAGTCCATCGCAGGTCCCCCTACGTCTCTCACAGATCCCTGGTACTGATTCATGTCTCATTGCAAGCTGATTCTGTGTTGATGGTCCTGTGTCTCCGGAGATGATGACCTATAAAAGGACCCACTCTGTGATGAGCTCCTGTGGGCCTTTCCTTCTCAGAAAGGGTTTTAACTTTCCACAGGACACCTGTTCTTTAGCCTTTAGCCTCTGTCACAGTGGTGAGTTACAGAGAAGCAGCACTCCAGCCAGCGTGCCTGGGGCAGACGAGCCTTGGGAACTGGGGCGGTGGGGAGCTCAGTGGACTGGGTCCTGGGGACGTGGATTTTGTTCCAGGTCAGCAGACACCTCTGGAAAACTTGGAGCAGGGGCATGACACAATCTGGGTGACGTTTCCAAACCTTGCTCTGGCTTCTGATCAGGAGTGGCTGAAGAGTGACCGGGGAGGTGGCTGGAGGTGACGGTGCCTAGAGAAGGGTGGGGACCAGCAGGACGGGAGATTAAACATGGGCATGAGAGCAAACAAGGAAGAAAGCAGCCCCTGCAGTCTGCTGGTGTTCTTGAGAGAAGCCCTCGTCCACGGCCAGCGGGGGGTGTCAGGTGGTGCGGCGGCTGTGGAAGTCAGCATGGCAGCTCCTCGATAAGGGAACAACAGAGTGGCCGTCTGATCCAGCAGCTGCACTCCGGGCACATGCCAGAGCTGAGGGCAGGGCCTCAAGCCGGTATTTGTACATGCACGTTCGCAGCAGCATCATTCACAATGGCCTGGAGGCAGAAGCAACCAAAGTGCCCACCAGTGAGTGAGTGGTTGTGACATGGACACACAAGGGAGTACAATTCGGCCTTAGGAAGAGAGGCTCTTCTGACCCATGCTACGGTATGGATGGCCTGTGAAGTCATGACGCTAAGAGAAAGAAACCAGCGGCAAAAGGAGAAGTAACAGCATGGTTTCAGCTGTCTGAGGTCCTTAGAGCAGGGAAGCTCGTAGAGACGGAGAGCACGACAGCAGGCACCGGGGATTGGGGGAGGGGATGGGGATTAGTGTTTCTCGGGGGCAGGGTTTTGGCTGGGGAAGATGGAAGAGTTCTGGGGACAGGTGGTGGGGATGGTGCCCCTCAGCTGTGCACTTCAGAGTGATTAAATCGGTAAGCTCATTGCTTTGTATGTTTTACCAAATTCAGAAAATGGCCTGAAAGAAGAATTAACATAAATTCTATTCAAGCTCTTTTTATTTTTAGAGGGGGGGCGGGCAGATGGAGAGAGAGAGAATCCCAAGCAGACTCCATGCTGATTGCGGAGCCTGATGTGGGGCTTGATCTCATGACTCTGAGATCATGACCTGAGCTGAAACCAAGACTGGGACGCTTAACTGGCTGAGCCCCCCAAGGGCCCCTTGCTCAAACTCTTGCAAAAAGTAGAAGAAGAGAAACATCTAACAAATCCTATGATGCTGCCATTATGCTAATACCAAAAGCAGGAATGATGCCACAAGCAAGATAACTACAGACCAACGTCCGTGCTAAGTACACAGTAAGGATCCTGAACAAAATACTAGCACACCAGCTCCCACAGCACGTTAAGGGGTTAGACACGGTGATCAGGTGGGGTTTATCCCAGGAGTGCATCTTTCATTTATCCCAGGAGGGTTGCATCTTCAACATACAGAGACTAACCAATGTGGTAAGGGAAAAAACTCACATGATTATCTCAATAGATGCAGAAAAGCACTTGACAAAATTCAACACCCTTTCATGACAGAAGCACTTAGCAGACTCAGAAAAGACGGGAATCTCTGTAACGTGACGAAGGGCATTTATGAAAACCTGTAGTTGACATTAAACTCAGTGACGAAGGACTACAAACTTTTCCTTCAAATATCAGGAACTGGACAAGGATCCCCACTTCCTTATCACTTCTACTCAGCATTGTGCTGGAAGTTTTAGTTAGAGGAGTTAGGCAAGGAAAAGAAATAAAAAGCACCCAAATTGGAGAGGAAAAGGTAAAGCTATCTCTATTTGCCGATGATATGATGGTATATGTAGAACATCTTGAAGAACGCACACGCACACACACGCATGCACACACGCACGCACATGCGCACACACGCACGCACAGTGCTAGAACTAATAAATGAGTTAATCAAAGTCTCAGAGTATAAAATCAACACATAAAAGTCAATTATGTTTCCAGGTACCAGCGATAAACAACCTGAAAAGGAAATTAAGGAAATAATTCCATTTCCAGTAGCATCCAAAGGGATAAAATACCTAGGAACAAATACCCGTGAAGATGAAAACCTTAAATAAGTTAAAGAAGACCTAATTAAGTGGAAAGACATGCAGGCCCATGGATCCGGAGACTTAATGTTGGTGAGGTGGTGATGGCCCCACAGAGTGAGCTCCACATTCAGTGTGGACCCTGTCAGGGCTCCAGGGCCCTTTTTACAGGAATGGGAAAGCTGATCCTCAAATTCATATGGAATGGCAAGGAGCCCCAAATAACAAAAAAATCTTGAAAATTAAAGACCAAGTGAAAGAACCCATGTTTCCCTATTATAAAACTTACTGTAAAGGTACCATGAGTCAGAACAGTGTGGCTGAAGAGACACTTCTCCGAAGGAGTCATGCAGACGACCAACACGTACATGAAAAGGTGCTCAGTGTCACCGTCACCAGGGCATGCACGTCGAGACAACCGCGGCCGTTGCCTCGCACACTTAAAATGGACTATCGTGAAGAAGACAAGAGATGGCAGGTGTTGGCGAAGATGTGGAGAAAAGTGAACCACTGTATGCGGTCAGTAGGAATGTCAATTGGTACGTCACTATGGAAAACAGTATAGATGTTCCTCAAAAAGTAAAAAATGGAGCTAAAATATGATCCAGCAATCCCACTTCTGGGTATACATCCAAATGGAAGGAGAACAGGATATCGAGGACAGATCTGCATGCCCACGTTCACTGCAGCATTACTCACAATAGACAAGACATGGAAACAACCTAAGTGTTCATCAGCGGATGAGTAGATAAGGAAGACTTGGTGTGTACACACACACATTCACAGTATTCAGCCATGGGAAAGAAGGAGATCCTTCTGTCATTTGTGACAACATGGATGGATCTTGAGGGCATTGTGCTAGGTGAAAAAGGCCAGACAGAAAAAGACAAATACTACATACATCACTTACCTGTGGAATTTTTTTTTGGAAGCCAAACCATGGAAAAGGAGAGTTGAAGAACTGTTGCCAGGGACTGGAGAGTTGGGGAAGTAGGGATAAGTTGCTGAAAGGGTGCACACTTTCAGCTCTAACATGAATAAAGTCTGAGAATGTGAAGTAAAACATGGTGACTATAGCTGATAACACTGCATTGTATAACTGAAATTTTCTAGAGGGCAGAATGTAAATATTCTATCAAAAATATGTGATGGACGTGTTAGCTAGATGGCAGGGATGCTTTGACAACGTGTGTGTGTGTAGAGACTGGAATATGTACTCTAAGTATCTTGTAATTATGTCAGTAGTCACGTTTATCTCAGTAAGGTTGATGTGGGGACAGTAGGTATTGGTGTAAGGATAGACCATTAGAGTGGGACGGAGATTCCAGAAATAAACCCAAATATCTGTGGACAGTTGATTTTTGACGAGGATGCCAAAGGTGCTCGGTGTGGCAAGAACAGTTTCTCTGACACATCGCAAAGAGACAACCAGATGTCCACATGTGGAAAAAAAAAAAAAAAGATGGACCCCTATCTCACCCCATATACAAAAACGAACCTAGAACTGGTAAAAGACCTAAATGTAAGAGCTAACACTACAAAACTCTCAGAAGAAGCATGGGGGCAGCTCTTGATCTCAGATTTGTTGAAGGATTCTTAGATTTGACGCCAAAATCACAAGCAACAAAAGAGAAAAATAAATTAGACTACAAAATTAAACACTTGTGTGTGTCAAAGGGGATTATAAGAAATGTGAAAATGCATTCTAAGGAATGGGAGAAAATATTTACTAATTGCATATTTTTAAGGGGATAATATCCAAAACACATAAAGAAGTCTCAGAACTGCAAAAGACAAGGATAAAAAAAATGGGCAAAGAATCAGAATAGACGTTTTTGGCCAGAAGGTATACAAAGTGGCCAACAAGCACATGAAGATATTCATCATCTTTGGACTAAATTAAGGAAACTCAAAACCACACACTTGCTTCACACTCACTGGAATGGCTACAATAATAATAATTTTTTTTAATGGAAAATAACCAGCATCATCAGGCACGTGGAGAAATTGTGACTCTTGCGCATTTCGGTAGGAATGTAAAATGCATCAACTTCTGTGGAAAACAGTTCAGCCCTCAGGTGGCAACAACCCAAATGTCCTTCCGTGGGTGGACAGAGAAGCAAACTGCTGTGTACCGCACAGGATGTTATTCAGCCTTAACACGCTGTGCGGTTCTGCGCCCAACGACTGGGTGAGCCTCATGGGAAGCAGAGAAGCCGGGCCCGGGAGGCCCTCGATGGCCCTGTGCTGAGGGACTCCTCTTGCATGAAACACTGCAAGGAGACAAGCCTGTGGGTGCCGAACAGACACTGTAGGGAAGGGGGCAAGTGAGCGGCCCTTTATGGCACAAGGCGTTTTCTGGGGTGATAAAGAATTTTTGAAACTCGAGGGGTGGTTGACTGATGTGAGTAAGTAAAGCCACTGGGTTGTAAAATACTGGATGTATGTTCTGTGAATTTCAACTCAATTAAAGGGGAAAAGAAGCCAAGCTTTTGGCCGCCAGAATCTAAACCCCTAACTCCAAAGTTGCTGCTTCCCTTGACAGCCAGCTGGGAGGGGACGATGGTGATGGGAGGTGGGGCAGCTTGGTGTGTGGATGGGGTGGGGGGTGTTGGGAGAGCTGGCGGGATCTAGCCCCAGGGCAGGGGCCTGCCACAGGGGTGGTGGTGGTAGAGTGGAGGGCAGAGGCTGCAGGGGAAGCAGGGCTGGCGCTGGATGAGCTGGAGTGGCCTCTGCTGCGGGGATGGTTTCACACAGACTTTGGCAGGAGGGGAAGGGCTAGAGTAGAGGGCAGGCTGAGGTCTCCTTATGTTACCCCTTCTCCTTCCTGTCCTGCAGATGTTGAACCTCTTTGTGGCCGTGATCATGGACAATTTTGAGTACCTTACACGGGACTCTTCCATCCTAGGGCCTCACCACCTGGACGAGTTCATCCGGGTCTGGGCTGAGTACGACCCGGCTGCGTGGTGAGTGGCCCCCGTGCTCCGTGGTCCTCAGGGTGGTCCATGCCACGGAGCTCGGAACAAGGCTGGGGGGCTTCAGACCTGTGTCACGTGAGGTCTGTCCCTCAGTTCTCGGTGGGGCCCACGTAGGGTGGTGCTAGGTCCCCCTCTGGGTGGCACGCTCCTTCTCATGCCCACAGTGCTTTCTCACAGCTCCCTGGGTGGAGAAAAGCTCCAGGAGACCCTCAGCCCGGCCCTTAGCAGCTTCTGAGGGGTCTGTGAGGCTCAGGGCACTTGTGGAAGGGGAGCATATGGTCTCCTCGAAGGTCTGTCACGTGAGGGGCGTGGAGGGCTCAAGGAAGAGGGTGTGGACACAGCAGGAGGGCCTTCCCTTGGGGCCTCACCATCCTCATGAAGCTTGGAGGCCTTCATGGCACAAATGACATTCTTCTTGCCCATGGGCTCAGGCCTCTCCCTCTCTGCCATCACCCTTGGGAACAGGAGCCAACACGCACCTGTGTCCCCAGCCCAGGCTGCGAATAGCAGGCGCTTGGTGAACTTTTACTGACATCGAAGGAGCTACCAGGAAGGGTCTAGTATGTTGGAGACCCTCTGGTCCTGGTGGGTAAGGTTACTGTGTTGCATCAGGTGAGGGGTGGCTCGTTTCCAGACAGCAAGGGTGTCGTGAGGGGACTGGCTGGGGCTAAACCGTTGTTCCATGGTGTGTGTGAGAGTCCCGCACATGGGGACTGCTCTTACCCTCGGGGCCCACGGAGCAGCGCCGACTCACCGTCTGCCCGTCTGTCTGTTCCTTCATCCGTCGCTCCCTCACTGGCTTATGCACTCATTCATGCTCTCAAGCGGGTTCTTGAGTAGTTATTCAGGGCGCGCTCTCTGCAAGGCCGCCAGGACGTGGAGGGGCCAAGAGCCCTGGCTGCTGGGGAAGGCACGGGCCTGCTCCCCGTCTCGGTCATGGTGAGCGCCCAGCAGACGCAAATGTGAACGAGCGGGCGTCCATCCCTCCCACGCTTGGAGGCAAGGGGAAGCCTGGGAAGACGGGGTGTGGCCACTCCCATGTCCTCTCTCCATGGCTCCCCGGCCTGCCTATGCCCCCTCACGCAGCTCTGGCTGTGGTCACCCCCTGTGTGGTAGAGGCCTGGGGGAGATGGTCAGTGTCGTCGTGGTGAGGACCCTACGGCCCACAGATGGCCCGAGCTCCTACCTGTGTTTCCCTCAACGGAAACTCAGCGAGGGCATCAGGTGCTCTGACCCCGGAGCCCGGAAGGCCTGGGGGCTTGGCAGGGCTCCCTCAGCCTCCTTTCCTGCAGCCTTCCTGGAGCCCCTACCGCATCCCAGGAAGGTCCAGAGGATGCTGCGGGAGACCCTTCCCGGGCCGGCGTGCCCTGAGACCACGGGCAGCACCCGCAACCCTCGGGCATCGCTGTGCCCGTAGTGTTTCTGGGTGTTCTCCATTGTGAATCTTTTGCCATTTTCACACATTGCCGAGTGAGCGTAGCTGTTACTTAACATTTCATGGCGTAGGTGACTGTTTCCATGGCCTTGGGGAGTCTTACCACTGTGCTGATGTGCCACCAGGCTGGGCCTGCCATGCCCAGTCTCGTGCTGAGGGCAGGTGGGGGTTCTCTGGTCAGGTCAGCGGGCAGGGGAGACTCCAAGTGAGGCTCTTCCCAGGAGGGGCATCTGGACCATGGTGTTGAGTGATGCTGCTGTTTGCGGGCACAGTGTTTCTGGAGGTTGTGTTCCAGGGAAACGGAGATACTGTGGGTTGTGACTTGGACATATGTCCACGTGGGCAGGACAGACGCAGGTCGGTGCAGGCCTGTGAGAGGGGAGGACTTCTCCCAAATCTTTATGAACTGCAGACCCAGGACTTCCCCTAGTCCAGCTGCAGGTGGAGCAGAATTAGGACAGACAGGAAATGGACCAGGGCTGGACTGTGGTTTTGTGATGGCTCAGACTTCCTGAAATCCAGAGTTCTGAAAACGGGGCCTTTGGAAGGCAGAGGCCATTGGGAGTGTGGTCAAGAAAGTCTGTGGAAGAGTAGACAGCAGATAGAAGCCTCGCACCAGAGGTGGCCTCTGTGAATCAGCACACAAGCCCGTGTCCGAAGTCACACGGACGTGACCAACAGCTGACGCTCAGACTTGCTGCTCCCACATGTGCCTGGGGCTGAAAACAGAGCTTGCCTCCAGATGGCAGGGGGACAGGGGAAGGCCCAGCAGAGGCCACTAAGCAGACCGAGTCCTGGGCACAGGAGCAAGGAGAGTGCTTTGAGCCCTTCCTAGCCTGCGTGGTAGACGTTATGTCCCAGGTGGCCACTCTGCGGTCTCCTGGTTCTTGGAGAGACTTAAAAAACAGCAGAACTTTGTGAAATTTCCACGCTTTCATATGCGTGTGTGTGTGTGTTTGTACCTGTGTGGCTCTGGGAGTGTGTGCACAGTGCATATGTGCAGGGGTGTTTTTGTGTGGGTACGTGTATAGGTCTGTACACAAGTGGCACGCACATGTGCACGCGTACAGCAGACATATACGTGTGCACGTGCGCACGTGGTTGTGTGTACATGTACCGGTACGCACACATGTGACTGCAGACATTTGAGTGCAGTGATGTTTGTGTGCTCCTGTGTGTGCTCGTGTGCACGTGTGCATGAACGCCTGTGTGTGTGTGAGTGTACACGGCATGCGTGCTTGTGTGTGTACACGCGTGTGGACGCAGGTATGCGTGGGCATGCATGCTGTGGGGAGATGAAGAAGGCACGGGGTTGTTGCTTTCTGGTGCTGCCCTTCCCCATCTTTGTGTTGCTTCACTTTGTGGTGGTGTGGACCCTTGAAAGGAGAATCACGTCCTACCTGTGTGCGGTCTGTCTGCTCGTCTTTGTGCTCATCCATCTGCCCGTCACCATTCCGGAGCATCCGCCGTGTGCTGGGGGCCGGGGGTGTGTAGGCGAAGCAGGCTCGGTGCTCTCAGGATGCTGGGTGCAGCAGCACTGGGGGGAGATCAGGGGAGCTGTAGTGGGAGCCCGGCTGTTTGGGGAGGGAGAGACCCCATCTGCCTGGTGAGTCAGAGGAGGTGGCATTTGAGCCAGACTGGAAGGGGCAGGGTGGATGGAGCTCCGGAGAAGCGGGTGGGGTAGGGTTGAAGGGAAGGGGGTCTGATTTTGTCTGATGGAGAAGAGAACACATCGCAAAGGAGCTGGAAGGGTGGCTGGGACAGGCGGAGAAGGTCTCGAACTTCAGGACAGACAGTAGCTTTGACTTAATAGACAGCGAGGACAGTGTTTGAGTCGGGACGATGGTCTTGTTCCCCCACTTTCCATCTGGTACCCTCTGAGGGGTTTGATGGTGGAAGAGAGAAGATGAGCCAAAGAACAGGCTGGGCATTGGGTTGGGTGATTACTGGGGCTGGGGGCTTCACCATGCTTCCAGACCCTTTGTGATGGAAGGGTCCAGTGAGGTTAGCAAGCAACTTGGGTGAGGCAGAATGGGGCTTCCTCTTTCTTCCCTTTTTTCCAGAAGTTTGGATCTGATTGGACAGGAAAGAGAAACATATGTTGGCTGGGGTGCCAACCCTGGGACAAGGGGGTTCTTAGCTGGACCAGCAAATTCCAGGAGATTTAGGAGGTGGGGACCGTCAGGAGAGCCAGGCATGGGGTCTCAGGCACTCGGGGAGCACGAGTAGGAGCTGCCGGAGAGGGTCGGGGAGCAGGGCCCAGGGAGAGATGGACCAGTGGTTCCAGTGTGTGCACGGTGGGGGCTGGGGGCCGGGCCAGCCATGTTCTGTGTGGTGTGTCTCCCGCCTGCCTCCGGCTCAGACATTGTCTTGGGGCTGCCACGCTTCCTGGGGCTGTCGGAGCCCCAGGGTTCCCTGCAGGGAGCTGCCTGTCCAGCCGCGGGGCTCCTCTTCCTGCCGCAGGCTGGGTGGGTGGGCGGGACGGGCTCAGCTGCCTTGGTTGCCGTAACCTGTGACATTTCCTTTCCAGTTGCCGGATTCATTATAAGGATATGTACAGTTTGTTGCGTTGTATTACGCCACCCGTTGGCTTAGGGAAGAGCTGCCCTCGTAGGTTGGCCTACAAGGTTTGCGACTTCAGAGCCTCCATCCCACATACTCTCCCCTGCCCGAAATGCAGACACAGCACACACTCCCTGCCTGGTTTGGGAATGACGACACCTCACCTCTCTTTCCTCCTGCCCTGCCCTGCCCGCACTCCAACCTCCTGGACGCTTCGGTCCCCCATCTGATCTCCTGACCCCTCCAGCTGGCCGGGGAGAGGTAGCCTTCTGAGGCAGTGCACACGGAGCTTTCTGGCTGGGCCTTGAGGGCAGGGGTCGGCTGCTGGGTGGGAGCTGGGGGCCAGGCCCTGCCTGTGCCCAAGGAAGCAGCTGTCTCACCTGGCGTTGCCTCCAGGCTCTCAAGGGTGGGCTGATGGTCAGACAGGCTGGAGGCCAAGGGCCCCAGAGGAGGAGAGCATGGGCACAAGCAGACCAGGAGCAGCTGCCCTTCCCAGTCCGAAGAGCCCAACAGCCCGGGGGTTTCTGGTCCCCGAGGGAGGCGAGGGCGGAGGCACTGGAGGCCCAAGGATGGGCTCTCCTGCTTCACCTCTGGATCGATCCACTCAGCCAAGGCTGGGCACCCTGGGAGGAGGGCCAGGCCCTGGGGCAGTTGTTCCTGCCAGGAAAAAGCTGTCCCTTTTCTGTCCTGGGAGGCCTGCACCTGACCATGTCTCTGGGACCCCAAGCAGGTCCCATAGGCAGGTGTCCCTGGGGGTGGAGTCGAGGCTGTAGGCCTGGCGGCCTGTCTACCTCTGGAAGACACAGTCAGCAGCCCCAGACACCTCCCTGGATCTGGAGCCGGGTCCCGTCCGTTGGCCCCAGCCCTGCTCCTGGCGTGCTGTCAGGAGGGGGCAAGAGTGGCTCCAAGCCACGTCCGACCCCAGCTGCCCACCGCGCCCCCTCACCTGTCCCCGCAGTCTCCCATTTCCTGCCCAGCCCTGACTCCCAGCAGCGGCCCTGCCCTGGGCAGCCTCGGGCGTCTCTGGGCTTGGAGCAGGACTCACCCGTCCAGTTTGTCTCGAGAGCCTGCGGGCTCCTTGCAGAACAACATGGCTCCCGCTCTAGTTTTCTGGCCTGTTTTAGATTCTTCTCCACTTTTTAGCCTCCAGGCTAACTTGGAAGCAAATTGAGCATTAAGGAACGCTGACGTTTCTGCCGTGGTTCTCGGGCTGGCCTCCTGGGTCAGGCACCAGCTCTCCCGGCACGGTGAAACAGCTCTTTTCCAATTTGGCATTATCTGTGGTTTCTAAAAGTGTAAAATCCGAAGTTGATAACCCAAAGCCGCCCCGATGCAGCCCTTCCTCATCCCTCCATGTTCATTAGCTCAGATGTCACCCCTGCCCGCTGCCCTGCGTGGGGCTGGAGTGTGGAGGTGAGGCTGGGAGGGGCAAGGAGGGGATCAAGTCAAGCAGAAAAGTCCCTCATTTTGCGTATTTTGACTTTTGGCATGTAATCTGACGCTGGTTAACTGGATCTGTTTTCTTGTCTGCTTCCTCCCCCCTCCCCTCCTGCTGCACCCCTTCCTGTGGACCCCACCCTGCCTCTGCCTCTCTGGGCCGGGTCTCCAGTGGGCGCATCAGTTACAATGACATGTTTGAGATGCTGAAACACATGTCCCCACCCCTGGGGCTGGGGAAGAAATGCCCTGCTCGAGTTGCATACAAGGTAGACCCCAACCCTGCACCCCGAGGCTGGCTGTGCTGGGGATGGCCTCCGGTCTCCTCTGGGGGCTTATCCGTCTGTCTGTCTGCCGCTCTGCTGTCTCACTGTTTCTTCCTTTTCTCTGCTCCAACCACGTCCTCTACCTTCCCAGACAGAGGGACACGGATACCACGATGGTGTCTCTGCAGCCGCCCCTTGTTCCCGTGGGTCTGCCCACCCTGAGAGGCCCTGAGAGGCTCAGGAAGACAGAGGCGGAGCCCTCCCCCTGCCTTTCTTCCCTTTCCTTCTCTTTCCCGGAAATGACGGGACAGACCACCTTCTTGACAGAAGCTGCTTTTGTTCTGGGCCCAGGATGGCACTCAGCTTCTCTGTCCCATAAGCGCCTGATGAAGGCGCTTCGGGTCTGACCCTGGGGTGGTAGGGCTCTGCAGGGCCTCTGGCACTTAGGAGGAGCCCACGCCCAGCTCCACACGTGCAGAACTTCCCGGGGTCTGGGCTGCCGTCAGCCTGGGGAGGAAGCATCCCCACAGTGGGAAGGAGGCACTGTGGCTTTAAGAAGGAAAAGGGTGCCAAGGAGAGGCGTCCTGCTGTCATTCCTGGGGCTTCAGAGGGCTGCTACAGGGTAAGAGAGCCTCAGGGGCTCAGGTGGTCCCAAGCCCCCTCCCTCCAATGCCCAGGAGGCTGAGCTGCAATGAGGGGTAAACTGAGGGACACCTCCTGGCATCCCTCTTAAGGAAGTGAGCGGGTCACATGGCCCAGCCCACAGCCTGCTCCCATCTGCCCATGTGTCCTCAGCCACCCCTCTTTGGTGTATAGGCACCTTCCATCCGTCCAGCAAACCCCCCACCTGCCGCCCAGCACTGAGAGCCCTCCTGCAGCTCCTGCTGCTCCCAGGAAACAGAGCCAGCCTGAGTCCTGCGGCTCAGCCAGCGTGTGTCTGGAGGCTCCCTGCCCCCGCCCTCTCTCTGAGCAAGCCTCCCAGCAGAGCTCTCACCTCTCTGGTTCTGTCCACACTGTCTATGCTCCAAACCTGGGCCTGTCTCTGTCCCCTGGCTCAGACAGCCTTTGGAAGCTAAGCAGTTGCCCTTCAAGCCGTCGGCGGACGCCTCTGCTCTCTTCCTCAGCCCTCCCCTGCCTGGCCTGCACGTTGTGCCTGCCTGGAGGCCTGCATGCGTGGCCATAGCTTTGTTCCCAAGAAGGAGAGTTCTGTCCAAACTGGTACCTGGGGTTGGGCTGGGCATGCAGGGCCCCGATGGGCTAGCCTTTTGGGCCCCTCCCCAGCTGTGCTGGCCGGTTCCAAGGTGCTGTTCACGAAGAGACTAGGGGCGGCCGCAGGCTGGGTGGGAATGGAGGGGCGTAGAGAGCTGGGGAGGGTGCAGGAGACGGGCAGAGTGCTGTGACCAGGAGGGTCTCAGCTTAGGGCAGAGGTGCCTGTCTGTTTGCCCTGGCCTTGTCCTGCTGCCGCTTCCTGAGATCCTGGCCCTTCTAGGGCCTGGTCAGGCAGAGGAGAGCCTCTGGTGAAGGTGCCTTGGACAGAGCTCTCTTCTCTTGGTGATCACCTGCTCGCTCCTCCATGCTGGTGCCCAACTCCCTGACCCCCTGGAGAGGAATCCCTCTGCCTCTCCTTCTGTCATCGGTGCCGGTCTACAGGGACACCGTGCTCTGGAAAGCCCGTTTTCCTGGTGTGCGTCACACAGGTTATGTGTGTGGTCCTGGGACCACAAGTGGGTGTGCCAGGTGGGTCTTTGCCAGCATTCAGTGGGGCAGAGTCTGGGCTCATGTCTCCAACCACCCAACCTCTATTAGATTGAGGATTGGATTTAGGGCCGAGACACTAGGGGCAGGGCTGAGGGCCCTCCCAAAAGGGGCTGTTGTGTCATAGGGTACGGGCTTGGCAGAGGACAGGCAGAGCCCAGGGAGGGACCCTGCGCCCCCGTCTCTAGCTCTTGTCTTGTGGCAGAGGACAAGAGACTGCTGGGAGGAGACAGGTGGGTCACAGTCCCCCTAGGGCTCCAGCTGGCCAGCTAGGTGATCTGCCATGCTGAGGCCATTCCAGACACACTAGGGACAGTTTTCTTCCTAGGCATCACATAAGTTCTCAGAGCCTTTGGCTCCGGGTAGCTGTTGGCTATTCCTGGAGGTCTGTGGGATGGACACACGTCTGTCTCCCACGGTTCTGTCCTTGAAAAATGAGGAGAGGAGAGGGGCGGTTCACCTGATGGGGAAACAGGGAGCGCAGCAGCAGGACGCTGCCCCCCGTCTGGTCTGGAGTACTTTTACTCCTGTGCAGTCGTCTTGAGCCTCTCCCGACGAGCCTTCACGTTGGCTCTGTGCAGTCCCATCGGCTCTGGGTCCTTCTGACTGGACGGTGCTGGCTGCCTCTTCCAGGTCCCCTGGCTGGGTGGTGAGAGATGAAGCCTACCTGGGTGGAGGGAGGCCTCACTGGGAGCTGGAGCTCAGGGCTGTGCTCATGGCTAACCTGCCCTTTGTCCAGGACTCCGGGCTGCTGGTGGAACGGATGACACTGGGCAGAGCAGTGAGGACGGGGGTCTTCCCTCCCATCTGTGGGCCATCCCAGGGCACCCCAGCCTCAGTTCTGCAGCCCAGACCCCTCCCTCTTGAGCCCAGGCCACATGCCCCTTACTCCAGCCTTGGGCAGGGGTCCTTCCAGCTGAGCATGTGCCTGTTCTTTCAGAGGAACCCAGCCTTCTGGCTTGGTGCGATGCGACAGTCTTTACCTGGATGTCCGTTTGTCTGCGGCTAGGTGAAGCCTCAGCTCTGGTGAGGGTGGGGGTCCAAGGGTGAGTGCGAATGCTGGCAAAACTCCCAGCCACCCAACTTTGCTTGGGCCTGGGCACCTGCAGAAGCTACCCGCAGGAGAAGCCCAGCTTCTAGGGGTCTCTAGCACCTTGTAGTCCCATAGTGGAGGGACCCTGGTAAGCCTGGCCCTGACCTGCTCCCCTTGTCCCTAGCGCCTGGTTCGCATGAACATGCCCATCTCCAACGAGGACATGACTGTCCACTTCACGTCCACGCTGATGGCCCTCATCCGGACCGCACTGGAGATCAAGCTGGCTCCAGGTGAGCAAGGCAGCATCTGGGGAGGGCACCGAGCTGGGGCCTGGCAGTCTCACTCCAGAGCCACCCCCAGGGGGGTGTGCAGGGAGGAGGGGTGAGGAGGCCTGTCTGGAGGGGACGGAGGACAGGTGCCCATGGCGCCTCTGTCGGGCACCAACCTTGTCATCTGACAACCGCCCTGGGGCATTGTGAATGATCCCATTTTCATGGGAGGGAGCTGAGGTGCGGTGAGGGTAATCGGCCTGTCCAGGTTACCCAGAGCTAGAGCATGTGGAGGCAGCACCCTTCCAGGGCGGAGAGTCTGTGTGCCTGCGGTCCACTCCCCGAAGTGAGCCCAGTCCCTGGCAGGTCCTCTCCTGAGCTCCAGTGTGTCCTCCCCTGTCCACAGCAGCCTCCTGTGACGCCTGCTGTACTTTCAGAGGAGATTAGAGCCACCAGAGGGAATCCGCCCTGTCCCTGCCCCCACACCGCCCTCCAGGCTGCATTCTTGACCTTGAGCTCAGCCATTTTGTTTATAGCGGATGAGTCAAGGCCAGTCCCGTACCCCACCACCCCTTGCACTCTAGGTCCCATTCTCATCATCTACCCAAAGATGTCACGCCAGAAATTCTGCACCGTGCTTCTTGTCCTGTTACTTGTTTCCTCCCTATTGGAGTCTTTGTATCAACATACAGACGCGCTATGATCTCTCCCATCTTTAAAAGGTTTTCTGCTCCCTCCATCAGCTTCCCTATGTTTATTCTTCCTCGCAACCGGCTTCTCGAGAGACTGGTCTGCAGGGTCTGTCTGGTCTCTCCCGTTCACCCCGCAGGCGGGTCTGCACGGCCGTGCTGCGGGAGCCGCGCTCGCTGAGCTGCTCAGTGACCTTATCTTCCCTGTCCGCAGCTCAGCCTTTCCTCGGCTGTCCCTTCCTTTTTGAATCCCTTTGATGTTTCTTGTTGTGTTTTCTCATGTCTCCCACTCTCCGGATGTCACTGCGCCCCTCAGACTCTCTGCCCCCTTGGTGCTTCCACCTATTCTCATGGCTCTAAATACTGGGAATTCCTACTTCGTGTTTTAAGTCCAGGCCTCTTCCTGAACCCCAGACCTGCATTCTCATGTGAGGAGCTACGTGAGAAAAGTTATTTACTGTCTCCACTTGGAAACCCAGGAAGCATTCCAAAGTTCACTTGCCCGGACTTGATCACCACGTGTTCCCCGTGGTCGTTCCCATCTCCATCAGTGGAAACTCTCTTCTTCCAGTTGGTCACTCAAGCCAAAGCCTTTGGAGTCATTCTTACCTCCTTTTTTTTTTTTTTTCCATCCTTGCCCCAGTTTTGACCTATATCTGATCCCTTGTCATATCTCCTGACTCTACCTTCAATATCTACAGAGTATGATCACTTCTCTGCCCTCTCCCACTGCCAGCTCCTGTTCAAGCCACTGTCTCTTGGGTCTTGGCTAGATTGTTGCCGTAGCTTCCAGCAGTCTGCCTCTGCTCTTGTCTGCCTTCAACATACCAGCAAGGATGATCATGTTGGAAACCAAACCAATAAAATTAATAAACCTCTGGCTAGACTAATCAAGAAAAAAGGGAGACAAAAATAACCAATATAAGGAATGAAAGAACACCACTACAGGTCCTGCCACCATTAAATGGATAACAAGGAAATTTTATGAACAACTCTCTGTCAGTAACTTAAATGAAATGGGAAAATTCTTTGACACCAACTACCAAGCTCATTCAGGCATGGATAACCTGAGTGGGTTAAAAAAAGGAAGAGATAATCTGAGTAGCACTATGTTTAGTAAAGAAATTAAATTATAGTTAAAAGAATTCCAATAAGAAAATCCATGGCCCTGTTAGCTCCATAGGTGAAGTCGGCCAAACATTTAAGGAGGAAATAATACCTGTTCTATATAAACTCTTCCAGAAAATAGAAAAAAAGAGCATATTTTTCAACTTACTGTATGATGCTAACATTACTCTGACACCAAGAAGAGACAAAGACATTATAAGAAAAGAAAATTATAGATCACTATCCCACATGACTGTAGGCACAAAAATATTCAACACAGTTTTCTCAGACTGAATCTGGATATATATATTTCTATTTACTTGATGACAAAAGTAGGGTTTATCCCAAGAATGCAAGTTGAGTTCAAGTTTAAAAGTCAATTAATATAATTTACTATATCAAAGAAGTGGAACTATATGATCATCTCAGTAGATGCAGAAAAAGCATTTCACAAAAATTAAGTATCTACTCATGATTTTAAAAATTCTGCATAGCGTAGTAACGAAGGAAGCCCCTTCAATCTGACCAAGGATATCTGTGAAAAACCTTCAGCGAATGACACGCTTAACAAAGAAAGACTTTCCCCCTAAGATCAAAAACGAAGGATGGCTACTGTCATCATTCCTGTTCAACATCTTTCTTTAGGACCTAGCCATTGTAATAAGTTAAGAAAAAGAAATAGGAAGCATACCAGTTGGAAAGGAAGAAATAAAGCCGTCCATATTTACAACTGGCATGATTATCTATGGAGAAAATCTGAAAGGCTCTAAGAAAAGCTGAGTAAAATGGAGGTATCTATAAAACAAGGAATGCCAACGATGGCTGGGAGCCACCAACATCTGGGAACAGGCAAGGAAGAATTCTTCACTAGAGCATATGGAGGAGGCACCGTCATGCTGACGCCTTGATTTTGAGCTTCTGGCCTCCAGAACTGAGATAACAAATTTCTATTGTTTTAAGCCATTAAAAGAAGTTACTAAAACAACACACAAGTATAGCAAGGCTACAGGATACAAGGTCAATGTGCAAGAAGCAAATGTATTTCTACGTATTAGCAATTAACAGTTGAAATGGGGAAAAGTTCCATTAAAATCGCACCAAAACCATGAAATACATCTGTGTTGCTGGATAACTCTACAACATTTATATGTGAGATTCGTATGCTGCCAGTTTCAAAGCACTGGTTGAAAGAATCAAGGAAGACCTAACTGAATCAAGCACTGCCTCGCCTTCCTGCATGGAAGACTCCGTGTCGCCATGATGTCAGCTCTTCCCACACCGATCAATAGAATAAATGTTAACACAACCAAAATCCCAAGATGTTTTTAGATAGAAATGTACAAATGAATTCTAAAATGTTTGTAGAAAAGCAAAAGAACTTGAGAAACAATTTTGAAAAAAGAACAAAGCTGGAAAACTTACTCCACATGAATCAGAGACTACCTATAAAGCAAGTCAGTTGCAGAGACATGGGTCAGTGGAACACAAAGGAGACTCACACTTACACAGCCAATGGGCTTTTGATGAAGTTGTAAAGGCAATTAATGGAGAAAGGATAAGTTTTTCAACAAATGGTACTGGAATAATTTAGACAGCTATATCCCCCCAAAAGGGAAAAATCTTGACCTTTACTATCTTAGTCTGCTTGGGCTGCCAATAACAAAATACCATAAGTGAGTGGCTTAAACACAGAAATTTATTCCTCACAGTCTAGAGGCTGAAAGTCTGAATCAAGGTGCCGGGAAGGTAGGGTTCATCCCCAGGCCTGTTCTCCGGGTTTGTAGGGTGGTCACCTTCTCACCATGTGCTCACATGGTCTTTCCTTGAGTGGGTACAGAGAGTGAACGAATTTTCTGGTGTCTCTTCCCATAAGGACACTAACTCTGTAGGTCAGGCGCCCCCCTTCTGACCTCATTTCACCTAATTACCTCCTTCTCAGCCTTATACAGTCCCAGTGAGAGTTCCGGTTTCAACAGGTGAATGGGGGTAGCGCACAATGCAGCCCATAGCACATACCTTTCATCTCCTACCAAAATTAACTTGAAAATGATCATAGACATAATGTAAAATGTGAAATTATAAAACCTCTAGAAGGAAACACAGGAGAGAAATTTTGGCAATTTTGAGTTTGGGAAAGATTTTTTAAGACAAAAAGCATGAGCCATCAAAGAAAAAAACCGATAAATTGAACTTCATCAATGTAAAAAACTTTTGCTTTACATTTAGGAAAATGAAAAGACAAGCTAAAGCAATGGTGAAAATATTTTTGAAACATATATCTGATATAGGATCAGTTCCCAGAATAGGTAAAGGTCTCCCACAACTCAGTAATAAGAAAATAGACAACCTGATAAAAATGGGCAAAGGGTTTGAACAGACATGTCACCGAGATATATATATGGAAGGCAAGTAAACAGCTACAGAGACACTCAGTATCTTTAGTCATTAGAGAAATCCAAAATGAAGCCACAATAAGGTAACATTACACGGTTATTAATATGGTTAAAATACTTTTTAAAGGGGCAGTATTAAGTCCTGGTGAGAATGCATAATATGGAATTCTTGTCACCCTTGTTTGGCAGTTCCTTATGGTTTGGCCCAGCCATCCCACTCCTAAGTGGGAAGAAAAGAAAACATACATCTTTACAAAACCATAGATGCAGAGGTTCACAGCTTTATTTCATAATCACCTCCAAATGCAAGCAACTCAAGTGTTTACAACTGGTGAATGGATAAGCAAATTGTGGTCTGTCCATACAGTAAGATAGTCCTCAGCTATCAAAAGAAACACACTACCGACATGTTTGCCAACACAGATGAGTCTCAAATGCACTGGGCTGAGTGGGGAAGTCCCCCAAAACCAAGACACCCTGTGATGTTATTTGTGTGGCATTCTGGAGAAGGCCACATAAACCGGACAAAAAACACACGGGGAGGAGAAGGCCTAGGGTCAGTTACAGAGGGAGCATGGAGGGGCTTTGGCCATGGTCCCACGTCTCGATTGTGGGGGTGGATACGTGGCTTCATGGGTTTATCGCAGTTCACAGAACGGGATAACTGAAAAGGGTGTCACCGTATGCACACCACACTAACCTGATGCTAGAAAAAGATCAATCAGTATTTTATCCCTCTGCTGCTTCCCATCTCAGCATCTGCTCCTTGCAACGCCCAACCCCCATGCCCTGCTCAGTGAGCCTTGCTGTCCTGGCTCATTGTGTGACACACCCTGGTCCCTTTCTGCCTTCAGGGTCGTTGCACACACGACAACTTTCCTGACCACCCTGTCCAACACGGCAGGCCTCCTGGTATTTCTCATCCCTCCTACTTGGCTTCTTCTGTACCCAACACCCTAGATTTTTAACTTGCTGCCACTTTATTAAGCCACGTCGTGCCACAAAGGCAGCTGCTTTTGTTCCATCACCTAGAACAGTACCTGGCATGGGTGGGTGTTCACTCGATAGTTTTGAAGGGCTGGACTGCCACCGTGACCTTCTCCCCTCCCAGGGCCCATGCACGCAGGCCTCTGTCTCCAGACAGGAGCCCATCAGGGGCGCTCTGATGGCCGCCGTGGCCACGCTTCTTCCTGCTCTGCCCTCTCTCCTAGCACTGTCCTTGCCCCGTTTCCCTCTACACCACACCTCTCCCTGCCTACTCCCCAAGGGGGCTATGGGACGGCTGCTGACATCTCTCTTCCCCTCCACACCCTGTCCCGCCCCAGCCGGCACCAAGCAGCACCAGTGTGATGCCGAGTTGAGGAAGGAGATCTCCTCTGTGTGGGCCAATCTGCCCCAGAAGACCCTGGATTTACTGGTGCCACCCCATAAACGTAAGTGAGGGAAAGAAACTCCCCTTGTTTGGGGCGCCTGGGTGGCTCAGTGGGTTAAAGCCTCTGCCTTCAGCTCAGGTCATGATCTCAGGGTCCTGGGATGGAGCCCCGCATCAGGCTCTCTGCTCAGCGGGGAGCCTGCTTCCTCCTCCCCCTCTCTCTGCCTGCCTCTGCCTACTTGTGATTTCTCTCTGTCAAATAAATAAAATCTTAAAAAAAAAAAAAAAAGAAACTCCCCTTGTTCACCCCCTTCTGTGTCCTACCCAGAGGCAGTGCCGGGACCTCTGGGCCAGGGTGACCTCATTGATAGTCTAGACTTAGATTCCACCTGCGGGGAAATGGTCTTACGAGTGGGCGCATAGGGACTGTGGGAGGGGATTACCTGGGCTTTATTCTGTTGGCCACAGTCCCCTACATTCCTGGTGGGGGGTGTACTTAAAAAGATTCAGAGAACAGCAGGGAGACTCCTGTTAGAGAAGAAGGGCTTAAAGATTAAACCCCACATCCACTTCACTGGGAGGAGATGCGGGGCCCTGTGGAGAGTCAATACAGCTCCTGGGAGCATGTGCCCAGTGTCCAAAGACACCATGTGGGGACCGCGCAACTTTGGCCAAGCCCTGTGCCCTTTCCTGAGCGTGTACGGGGTTCCTCATGGTGGGGGCTCTTCCCTTGTCCCACCCCACCCCACCTTCCTCCGCCATACGCCATCCTCTGTTTTCTCCCCTCCAGCCGATGAGATGACTGTGGGAAAAGTGTACGCAGCTCTGATGATATTCGACTTCTACAAACAGAACAAGACCACCAGAGATCAGATTCACCAGGCAACAGGAGGCCTGTCCCAGGTACTGGGTTTCAGGGTTCCCAAGAAGTAACCCTCAGGCTCTGACACCCGTTAGCTGTTTCGACAGCAGAGGGAACGCACATCCTCCTGGGGATTGCACGGCAGGAAAAGGAGGAGGAGGGGTCCCATCTGTGGCTTCACCTTTCCGCCCCCAAAGTCAGAGACTCCGTGCAGCCTGTCTGCTTTCCAGTGGCTGGTCTCTTGCTGGTCCTGGGGTCCCCTGACTTGGAGAGCTAGTGTTCGGGAGCAGTAGGCAAGGGGCTGAGAACATGTTCCCTGGACATACCACTTTTTTAAGTAGTAGAAGAAAGAAGTTTGAAGAACACTCGAGGAGGTTGTTTGGGGATGTGCGAGGAGAACTTGCTTATCCTGCACACGGCAGGGAGCAGAGAGATTCAAACTGATGGGTCCAAGGCCATGATTTCTTCCACCATGACTCTGACTGGGCTGGTTTGGGGCCCCGTCTTCCTGATGTCACCCTTCAGAGAGAACAACTTACCCACATAGCCAAAGCACCAGTGACCATATGTAGACTCTCTTGTCTAGAAATTTGCCTGGTGGTCAGGGCTTGCAGGGACAGTCACCCCTGTTGGAATGGGAACTATCTGATGCCCACCCATACCACAGCCCCCCGTTCCCGTGTCTGTTGCAGACGCCCACCCGTGCCCTGCCCCCCCACCAAGGCCTGAAACCTCAGAATTCTGCTCAATCTGGGGCTCATGCGGCCTCTGCCCGTCAATCCAAGTTGATGAGATGAAATATTTTTGCCATTTCTAAGTGGGTGCAGTCCCCAGATTTTGTAGGTGAGGAAGCTGAAGCTCCAAGAAGTGAAATGACTTTGCTGATGTCGCTCACAGGCCAGGCTCGGGGGAAGACTCTGCCTCCCTCCTGTGAAGGGCTGGGGCAGGGCAGAAGGAGCACCAGCTCACGCTGCGGGGACACGGCAGCTTCCTGGTGCACCTGTCTCTGCCCTTAGAGCTCTTCCTCTTCTCTGCGTCCCTTCTGCAGATGGGCCCTGTGTCCCTCTTCCACCCTCTGAAGGCTACGCTGGAGCAGACACAGCCCGCGGTGCTCCGAGGAGCCCGGGTTTTCCTTCGGCAGAAGAGCTCTGCCTCCCTCAGCAACGGCGGGGCCGTGTGCGTACTTGGCCAGGGGGCGCAGTACTGGGAGGAGGGAGGATTCCTGGTGTCGGCACCTCCCAGAGGGGCTCTCTGCAGGCATGGCCTCAGGACACGGAGCCTTCAGGTCCCATCGCCACTTTGGGAGACGGGCTCCACTGTCCACCCCATGCCCACCTCCACCCAGATGGTTCCCCGTGGGTGGTGCCTGGAAGCTGGTCCAGGCCGGCTGCTGGAGCAGTCTGTGGTGGTCCCCAGAGCTGATTCCCAACGTGACACAGGTGCCTTTGATGGTACTAAGGTCAGCGGCTTCAGACTGTCCCCTCCCAGTGTGTGTGCCCATTTGCCTTCCTGGGCAGGGGCCTCTGCCTCTGCTCCCTCCCTGCCCGTTGAGAAATTACTTGTTTCCATCTCAATCCCCACCGCATTCTGTTGACGGCTTGTGTGTGTCCAGTCTTCCGAACCCCTCTAAGATGCCTTCTCCTCAGATGTCCACTCTGGCCGCGCTTTCTGAAGCAGCTGTATCTGGTACACGACCTGGTGACATCCCTCTCGCCTGTCCTCTAACTCTTGCCGCAATAATTCTTGGGCATGAACCACCCAAACCAAGTGCTGTGAAAGAGCAGTGACCTGTCCTGTGCTGTGTGTTGCCGAGGGGTGGTGCAGCGGGCTGCTCTGCTCTAGCCACCCCCTGGGGCCAGCAGGGTCCCGTGGCTGCTCACACCCCATCGGCTCACACGGACCACTGGCTGAGTGCCAAGGGAGGGGCTTCTGCTCTGCCTCATGCAGCAGGGGCTGAGGTGCGGTCCGGAGAGCAGACTGGGCATGGCTGGCTTAGGGCTCCCGACGCCCTCTCGTTGGCACAGGTTTGGGTGCTCTTCTTCGAAGCCTGGTTGTGGGTCTTGCCCTGTTAATGAGGTAGGTCTTGCTGAGTCCTAAACTGCCCGTAACTCAGCAGTCAGGGCTTGCTGGGCTCAAGCATAGACAGGATGTCCGTTCTGGGCGTTGTGCACGTCGTACACGTGTGGTCTCATCCTTGCTGAGGACCGCCCCTGCTCCAGCTACACGCAGGAGGCCGTATTTAGGGCTGAGGGAGCTGCTGGCTGAGCCCAGCCCTCCCTCGGACTCCTCTCTGGGGCCCTCTCTGGCCGTCTGCTCCGAGCCTGGTGCTGGGTCCACACCCCTTGCCCTGTGGCCATTTGAGGGGCCTGCACGGGAGGGCCTCGTGCCGCTGGGCTGTTCCTGAGCCCGGGCAGAAGGGCTAGTGTAGCTTCCTGGCAGGCTGGGGCCAGGTCCTCGGTGGACATTCCGGGGCCCACAGGCCTCTGAGCCAACAGGACAATCGTCTCTGCCCTACAGCCAAACCCAAGAGAGCGGCATCAAGGAGTCTGTTTCCTGGGGCACCCAGCGGACCCAGGAGGTGCCCAGTGAGGCAAGGACATCCCTGGAGCGTGGCCACTCCACAGAGATCCCAGTGGTGCAGCTGGGAAAACCGGTGCGGGTTCCTGGGGCTGGGGAGTCAGGCTGAGGATGAAGGACAACAAAGGGGTGGGGGTGAGGCAGGGATGGTGGGAGATGGCAGGAACGTGGCAGGGAGCCCCGGGGGAGGGGGAGAAGGTGAGAGTGGAGTGGGGGCTGCCGTGACTGTGGGCCGCTCTGTGCCCAGGCCATCGATGTCCAGAGGCAGAGCGTGGCCCTGAGAGGTCCTGACGGGGAACCCCAGCCTGGTCTGGAGAGCCAGGGACGAGCAGCCTCCATGCCCCGCCTGGCTGCAGAGACTCAGGTGGGTGGCCTGGGAGGGTCAGGGTCATGGAAGGGTGGGGGAGTGGGGGATGAGGAAACCTGGCTTGGGGAGGGCTTGTGTCCCACGTGAAGGCTCCCCACCTTATGGCAGCCTGGACGCTGTCGGCCCTGTTGGGGACTCCTAGGACTCCATGATGGACTCAAGAGGAACAGCCAGAGTCCTCTGAGGCCTGCCAAGAGTCTCCAGCACCAACCTGTGGTCAGCCTCTTTTTGGGATTCTGTGGCCCAGTGTGCCTGACCCAGCCTTTCCCTCTCTAGTGCACCCCCCTTCCCCCCAGTGCATAAGGTGCCTCACACCTTGGTCCTCCCTTTGCCTGGTCGAAGCTCTGGGGATGATCTGCCCTGTTCCTTCTCTGGGTGTGCAGGAGCTCCCAGCTCCATCCCCTGCTGGGGATGCAGGGACGTTCTAGGGCAAGGGGGCTGCGTGCCCTTTCACAAGGACTCAGAGAGGGGCCTGCAGGCCTGAGGCTGGGTCGGGGGCTCTGCTTTCACTTGTTGGGAAGGTGAGGGGCTTTAGAAGAGCATGGCCTGGGGCCTGGGATCTCCAGCGCTGGCCTGGGGTTGGCCCTGTCCCTACCTCCTTTTGTGGTTCCTGGCTTTGCATGTTCAAAATGACTTCATCCTCTAAACTTATCTCTGTGTCCCACTGCTGGTGGCTCCTGCCCTCTTCCCCTTCCTGACCCTGGCCAGCAGGGCGGCCAGCTGGAGGACACTGAGTGGAAGCCGTGGGTCTGCTCCACGTGGAGGGCCCATTTCCATGGGTCCTGATTTCAGCTCAGGGCAGCAGCCCCGTGGCCCTGGCCCAGCAGAGTCATCACACGCAGCACCCCCTCAGTGTTCTCCTAGCCCGGCCCCAGCCTCCCTCTTCCTGGCATCCTCCCTGTCCTCCCGGGACACTGAGGCCAACAGCTCTCTGCGCCCTGCTGGCAGAGATGGACAGCAACTTTGCCGTGTGCTCTGGGAGAAAGGGTGGGCCTGGGTGGGGAAGAGCTTTCCAGGGAGAGGGAGGGGCCTGGTGGTTCTGGAACCCCAGACTCCTCTCTCAGACTGTGAGCCCTCCCACACCCACCCCCCTCACCCCCCCCCACCCCCGCAGCCGGCCCCCAGCGCCAGCCCCATGAAGCGGTCCATCTCCACACTGGCGCCCCAGCGCCCTCATGTGGCTCATCTCTGCAACGCTGCCCTGGACCGCGCCCCGGCCAGCCAGCCTGTGCCCCACCACCACCACCGCTGCCATCGCCGCAGGGACAGGAAGCAGAAGTCCCTGGAGAAGGGGCCCAGCCTGTCCGCAGACACAGATGGTGGTGCGTGCAGGGGTCCCTCAGATGTCCAGGGCCTGGGGCAGGGATCTGAGACCCTCTTCTTTTCTGTACCTCGACCACATAAGCAGTCCTGAGTAGGGGGTGGTGAGTCGCAGGTCTGGGGGGACCAGGCAGGACCACCCGCCCACTTCAGCTCTTACCCTGGGTCCTCCTGCTAGTCATGGGGACCAGGTCTGGGCTGGGGGTCTGTCTCCCCACCTGGCTCTCTGTGCTGACTTCCCCTTTTTCCGGCCAGCACCCAGCAGTGCTGCAGGGCCAGGCCCACCCCCGGGAGAGGGACCCACAGGCTGCCGGAGGGAGCGCAGACAGGAGCGAGGCCGGTCCCAGGAGCGGAGGCAGCCTTCTTCCTCTTCCTCTGAGAAGCAACGCTTCTACTCCTGTGACCGCTTTGGGGGCCGTGAGCCCTCGCATCCCAAACCCTCTCTCAGCAGCCACCCCACATCACCAACAGCTGGGCAGGAGCCAGGACCCCCGAGACCGGTAAGACAGGACCCCCTCGCTGCCCCTCCTTATGAGACTCCCCTTCCCCACCATGTTCTGAATCCTCCTTCATGTCCTGGTTCCCTGGCCCGGGTCTGTACTCCCCCGTTCCTTGCCCCACTGCTCCCCCACCAGCCCAGGCCTCCCGTCCCAACTGCCCTGGACTGGCCTCTGGTCTCGCCTCTCCCTGAGCTGTGCCTGTCCCTTTGTCACCCACTGTTTCCAGCTACATTTCCCCCACCACACACCCTACCAGTCTCCCTCCTAGGGTGCCTGCCTCTCTCCATGCCTTACTGCCCCTCCCCCCAGTGGTTCTCACCTGCATTGGCCTCTGGTCTGGTACTTTCATTTTTTTCTTTTTTTGCTCTGTTCTGCTTTCTTGTAGGGTGGTGGTTCAATGAACGGGAGCCCCTTGTTGTCGACATCTGGTGCTAGCACCCCTGGCCGTGGCGGGCGGAGGCAGCTCCCCCAGACTCCGCTGACCCCCCGTCCCAGTGTCACCTACAAGACGGCCAACTCTTCGCCTGTCCACTTCGCTGGGGCACAGACCAGCCTCCCCACCTTCTCCCCAGGCCGGCTTAGTCGTGGCCTTTCTGAACACAACGCTCTGCTCCAGAGAGACCCCCTCAGCCAGCCCCTGGCCGCCGGCTCTAGGATCGGCTCTGACCCTTACCTGGGGCAGCGTCTGGACAGTGAGGACACAGCCCGCACCCAGCCTGAGGACACGCTTACCTTCGAGGAGGCTGTGGCCACCAACTCAGGCCGCTCCTCCCGGACTTCCTACGTGTCCTCTCTGACCTCCCAGTCCCACCCACTCCGCCGCGTGCCCAACGGCTACCACTGCACTCTGGGACTCAGCTCGGGCGGCCGGGCCCGGCACAGCTACCACCACCCCGACCAAGACCACTGGTGCTAGCTGTACCGCCCACGCCACGCACCTGCACAGCGGCCGCGTTCCGTCGATGAGTTTTATCATCCACGCTGGGCTCCTGGGGACACTCAGGGGCACCGAGGCAGGGGCAGCAGCCCCTGGGAGGAGGGGCCCTGCCTTTGGGGCCAGCTGGGGGGAGGCCCCGCTGCTCCCCCCACCCCCCCACCCCACCTCCTCTTTCACACTGGACCAAGTCCTAAAGCCCTTTCAGAGAGGGATGTGGCTCTCTCTGTCCGCTGGTAGGCTGCCTGCCTGGGTCTCATACCACAGACCCTACACGGGAAGTGGCCGCATGTGCTGAGTAGGACGCTGCCAGTCTGAATCCTGTGTGATGGGTCCCAGCATCTGGGGTGTGTGTCTGGAGCCATTCTGAGGAGGTCTGGATCTCGCGGAGGCCATCCTTTATCCAAGCCTGCGGTACAGGGGAGCCTGGCGCGTTTGAATGCCCGGCCAGACAAGACAGAGTTGACGGTCCCCAGCAGCAGCCTTGGGAGCCTGGGCCGTGGCTCCATGCATTCTTGTCGGCGCCCACAAACACAGACACGTCTGGCGTGGCTCTTTGTACCTGAAACCACAAATGGACACCAGAAATGCACTCACACACTCTGTCCTCTCCCAGATGCTGTCAACCCTGACAGGGACCAAATCTGGAAAAAATTCTGGCTGTTGATTTTGGTTTTTAATCACAACACTCTTCCCTCTTTTGTCAATTCCATATACTTGATTTAGAAAAAAGAGAAAAACAGAAAACTGGGGAAGGAAATAGTAATACTACTTAAAAAAATCCAACCTGTAGGAAGCTCTCAGCTCTCTGGTGTGTGTGTGTGTGTGTGCGTGTGTGCGTGCGTGCGTGTGTGTGTGTGTGTGTGTGTGTGTCTTGTGTGAGGAGACGCTCTTGCGTCCAGCCTGGGTGGTCCCCCAGCTCCCCTGGCCCCTGCTGCTCTCGACCAAGTGCCTGACTTCCGAGCCCTCTCGTGCCAGGCTCCTGGGGGCGGTGACGTGAAGCCTGTGTGAAGCGTGGGTGAATCCTTGGAACTGTTCCCAGTTCTAGATATCGACCAGGTGCAAGGCTGGTGTCAGTGGAGAACACTCGTATAACATCCAGTGGGACGGCTGTAGTTGGAAACGAAGCGACCATTTCCCCGTTTTCCTCCCACGAGTGAAAGGGCTTCCTGGGAAGCCACACAGCAGCGTAGAGCATGTCCTCGTGTGGGGTGTTTTCAGTCTGTTGCACATCTGAATCTCAGGGACGGGATGCCTGCCAAAGGGGGCATGATGTCTGTTGTCGTGAGTTTCTTTTCAGAGAAGGCCAGAGAGAGGGAGAGGTACTGGGAAGAAGGAGAGGTGGGGGCAGGAGGGAGGGTCTGTGTCTGAACAGATGCGGCACTTGGGACGCCCTGAATGAATGAGACCAAAACTCAGAGGAAGTGATGCAGGAAGAAGCTTTGAGACTGTGGCTCGGGTGGGAGGCACACGAAGCCTGGCACTGTTTGTGGCACAAGACATGGGAAAGCAGAAAGCGAAAGAGAAATCCAACCTCATGGCCACTCTCAAAGGGGAAACACCGGAGTTAGGAGGCTGTGGGTAAAATGCCGGGAGACCCTTTGTTTCGTGGACCAAAGGAGTACATAGATGGTTAGATTTTGGTGCGCCCTCCATGTTTGGAAACGTCAGATGATCGCTTTGCTGGATCATTTGAGTGTTCCCATTGGCTGTCACCCCATGACTCACCTTAAAGAAACTTGGCCTGTGATGTGTGTGTGCGTTTCTCTGTGTGGAGGTGTGTCCCAGTGAGTGGGTGTCGCTAACCCATAGGGCTATGCAACAAAAGACACATGTTCAGTAGAACTAAATCACATCAGACCACCACCTGTTCTAGGGTTTCAGCACGATTGTGACCAAACCATTTTATAGAATTTCCTTACCGGAAGGCACAACACTCTGAAACTTTAAGATTACAGAGTATTTTACTGCAATAGGAAATGATAACTGGAATGGTATCTCAGCCTGCATGAAATAGCTGTGCTCCTGTTGCAAAGCCGAAGGATGTGTGTTTTGATACTGATGTTTCATCTCTGGCCCATGTTATTTTGAATGTATCCATTCTGTGCAGAACCACAGCTGCTTCCAAGGCCATGGTGGGTGGAGAATCACTGTTGTAGCCCTGCACAGCCTCACCAGTTTGTCTGGATTTGGTGAATTCTAGACACTGGAATTGGTGAAAACTACAGGGAGTGGGGGAGGAGATACTGTGTCTTGTTTTCCTGACTTTGGGTTTTGTTTCTGTATTGTCTCTTCTCAGCTATCATATGTTTCCACTGAGATCTCATAGTGAGTTGCCAAATTTGAAATGCATTAACCAGTTGTCTGCATCTGGACCAGTCAAGCAGTGGCTGTAGTTTGAATAAGTTATGTGTGCATGTAAAATATATACATATATACATATATACAAGTATGTGCATGAAATGTATATCTTCGTACTTTTTGATACAATGTACTCATTTGTTAATTTTTAATTATATTTGATATAAATCAAAGGTTTGTTGCAAAACTTTATATTTAAGAACAGTGTTAAAAAAAACCCAAAAAGAAGTCCCAACCATGCAACACAACTGGGACCTGCTTTAAAACAATCCTGTGATTGATGAGTTTGCTGCCTGAGTAATATTGATCACCCAGACTTTGGATTCTGCTATTGTTTCTACAATGACATTTTGTATGAATCAAAGTCCTTGGATTAAAATAAAACTTAGCAAAAAATCAAATCAAACCCCACCATGCTGCCGGGTGATGTACGTAGGGGGCGCGGGAGTCAGCAATCTGTGTGTCCTCAGGAGGCTGGGCTGCCTCCATGGGCACGCGGGCAGAAGTGCACAGCTGAGGCGCTCTCTGGAGAAAATAACCCTCTAAAACGTTTTTGGGTCTGTTCATGATGCAAGTGTGGGGTTGGGGTGACAGTCATGGGCTGGGGTCAGGATCAGTGTCTGGATCAGGGCCATGGTCTGGGTTAGGTTTAAGCGTAATCAGCTTTCTTCCCCCTCCTCCATCTCTCTACGCCTCCAGGATGGACAGGACTCACCCAGGGTCACACGTGAGTCAGAGGTGAGTTGGAACATTGATTTTTGGTCTCTCACTCCTGGCCTTTAACAGAAAAGTGTAATAGCTCGTCACTGTTTCAGATCCAGCTCAAGCCCAGTCAAGAGCTGTAAGGGCCTCAGAGGTCATACAGTCTTCCTCCCTCCCACCTGTGAAGGTGCCACTGGCCACACTCTGCCTGGGTAGCCACAAGTTCCAGCACTACCCTGACCCACGAGGGCACTGAGGAAACACATATGGATTGATACAGGACTGACTACAGTGGCCTACCTGCCCCCATGTGCACTCTCCTTGCAGGCTGGTGGGGCTCTCCTGGCCCTGGCTAGATCCTCTGTCCCATCCAAGTGGATCAACAGTGAACAGTGGACAGGACAGCCCTTGGCCTCTCACCATCTCAGGAAGCATCTGTGGTCCTCCAGTTCAGGCCAGGCATGGTCTTGACAACCCCTATGGCCAGTTACTGAGCTGACTGTGCTCCTGGAATGTAGTAAGTCCATGGGCAGTGTAGACAGCCCCACAGGATGTTTCCATTCCCAACATCTGCGTGGTTGAGACAAGCACGTCCTCCCTCAGTCTCTTAACCTTCCAAGTGTTGGATGCGGCCCTGGCCACAGCAGCTGTCCAGCAGACTGGCCCTTCTGTCCTTTGGCCTCCCGATACATATGTAAACCTTGGACATGCGTATTTGTTAGAATCAAGGTTATGGGAGTAACGGTGTCTCCCAGCGAGCAGTTTTCTCACTGAGACTGTGTGGTTTCAGAGAGCCACATGCATGATTCAGGGACTGTGGCCTCCAGAAGGTGTGCCACGTGTGGATTCTAGGTGTGGAATGATCCTTGAGCCTCCCATGACTTCACTGAGCAATAATTTCCTGACCATCCTCATATTTGGTGTCTGTGCTTTGTAAAGGAGAGAGAAGAGACTGGAAATGAGCCAGTGTGTTCTCTGGGCTTGGGTGATTAATGTGTGTGGGGGGCAGGGGTGACTCCCAGGCTTCCCTCCTCCCAGGGACACAAGTGAGGCCTGTGTGCCATCCAGTCTCTGAGATAGGAGGACCCAATGCCCAGGGCAGGAGCCTTGAGTTTCCCACCAACAGCAAAGTTGTTTTCTCAGCAGTTAGAAGAGTGTCTTGCCATCGTGGGAGGACAGGAAGAGCACTGGATGGGCAGTTGCAGCCCCTGACCCTAAGTAGACCCTTTCCTTCCCTGGGTTTCAGATTCCACAGCTCTGTAGTCACCCACCAATGATGCAGGATCTGCTGCTTTCCCCGCCCAGCATCTGCTCTCACGTCTAAGGCCAGCATCTCAGCTTCCCTTTGGGAACCACATCTCACCTGCCTCCCATCCAAACAGTTCCAGAGGGCAGACCCCACATTCCACCCCCCTCAAAGATGGACACATGATCCAAGTCTACCCAACCCCATGCTCTGTCCTCTGGGTGCTCTGATGGCTTCAAGGATGAGAGTGTGACCCAAGCCAGGTCAAAGACACTTCAAGTCATGACTTCATGGAACCCAAGGGAAAGAGAAACCCTTCCTAGTATAATGGATGGTGAGTGGATGTCAGCCTGGAGGTGTGGGAGGCCCCAGATGCAGTGAGAGAGACTGTGCCTGTGAATGGGGTCTCCCCAGAGCACTTAGCAGGATGGAGGGTTGGAGAGGGTCCAGCTCACACTGTGAGAGTATGAGCCCTTGGGCCTGCCAGATCTAGACCCACTCTTGTTTCTTGCAAGTATTAATGTATTTCTACCATTTAAAATATTTATTTTACCTCAGTAAATATGTCCAGTCCCTTGCCATCCAGAGTGCTAGGTGACACATCAGGGTTGACAGTCCCTGAGACTTCCCATGCACGGTGTCCTCACAGGGTGGGCCATAGCTGGGGGGAGACAAGAAGGTGGGGTCAGATCTCAGGGGAGCTCCGGAACAGTTCTATTCCTGTTCCTTCTCTGTCCCCGGAGAGGAAAACCCCAGAACAGGTAGGAGAGAACCAGCAGGAGCAAGAGGCCCCTGGATGTT